GCCACTGATTAACAATCAGTGTGTTAAGATTTTACAACTTTTGTTGTCTCACATAACTCTCTGTCTCCAGTTACTCTGTATCATAAGTGACTGCAAAATTTTAATATTGAACATATTTCATTGAGAGAATTGTGTTTCAGGATCACCAAAGATGGGCATTGATTCACCAAGAGATGAGCAGCAGAATAAGCGCTTTTGCTGTGGGAGTGAAGTATCTACATTCTCTCCCCCTGGCGCAGCACATGATGGCTGGGCTTTGGATGACTCAGTGGCCAGACTGAGTAGATCTCAGCCAGAACCAGGGTTAGAGCAGCACATTTTGCCAGTTGAGAGTGTTGCTGCAGCTACACAGGAAGAAAGGGGGACATTGCCATTTTCACAGCCAGCGCACCTGAATGATATGGTGCTGAATTCACAGCTCCATGCTACTCAGCCATCTACACGGACTTCCAGTCAGGTATGTAGTGCTAAAAGAGCTCTGAATGTAATAATTTAAAAAAAAAAAATGAGTTGAAGTCATTGTGTTTTTTTTTCACAGAATAATTTCCAAAACCTGGTGCAACACAAGACATGCTTTTGTGTATGTACAGACTATAAGGAAACAATTGAAAAACTATGCAAATTACTTGATAAATTGAGTTATACCTGGAGAATTGCAGCCAAAGTGATATGTAATCATCGATTTTCACTGATTGCTTGGGCATGCCTGGTGTGCATACAGTTCTCCTGTGTCTTACTGGTCGTCTGTTTCTGGGTCATACTAAAACACCCAACACTTAACCATTGTCGCTGCCACTTGAAGTTACTTAAAGCACAAAGAAACCTGTGGAATTTCATNTCCTGAGATTTTTGGGATCATTTGGGCAGTTTGTTTTGCTGGTTTGCATGTTCATTCTGAACTTTGGTCAAAATAAATTTTACAGATCCTGTATTTATGTTCAGTTTTGCTCCCTTCCAAACCATGAGTTGTCAGTCCTCACATTTTCTGTGTTTGATGTCAGTCCTGAGGTGTAATTTACATATATGTATCTTTTTCATCTGTAATATCTTCCCTTTTCTCTTGAATTTAATTAATGCACAAAGAAACCTGTGGACTTTTCCATCCCTGTGACGTACTATAATATTCTATAAATGTTAATGGCATTTTATTCATTTTTTTCAGTTAACAGTTACAACCACAGATAAACGTGACGTGAAGCTTCACACATTGGCCGATTTTCAACTCTCGAAAGGGTGTGGCTTAGGCAGACCTTCCTGCACATCAAGGGAACTTTCGACGATATAACTTTGAAGAGGACACCATATCTTTTTATCTCATGTAATATAAAAATGAACGTTATTGTTAGAGATTATACAGAGTGTTCAGTCAAGGAGGATACTTCACAATACCGTTGACCGGGCCCAATATTCCTCACAGATTGCTGCTGTAACTGTAAGGGTGCACATTTATCAGCGCTAATGACTCATTCTGCTATCAGCAGTTACAGTAGCAATCTGTGAGTAATGTTGGGCTGGATCAGAGGTGTTGCGAAGTCACGTCCTTAACTGAACACACTGTATAACTTTAATATATCTAATTGTTATTTAATATGTGAAACTAAATTGATTGTTAGAGCAGTATAACATTAATATATCACATTTTTATTTAACAGATGGATGAAACTGAATTCATTGTTAGAGCATTATACCGTTAATATATCAAATTGTTATTGAATAGATATAAGTATTTTTTAGAGCAATATAATGTTAATACAGTGAAACCTCAATCTATCGTTCCCGGATCCATCGTTCAATTTCTGTGGTCCCTGAACAAATCCTATTTAACTATGGAAATAATGGCAATATAATGTTAATACAGTGAAACCTCGATCTATCGTTCCCGGATCCATCGTTCAATTTCTGTGGTCCCTGAACAAATCCTATTTAACTATGGAAATAATGGCAATATAATGTTAATACAGTGAAACCTCGATCTATCGTTCCCGGATCCATCGTTCAATTTCTGTGGTCCCTGAACAAATCCTATTTAAACTATGGAACTAAAACCCGCATCAATCGTTCTTCGGTTTATCGTTTTCCCGCATCTATTGGTCGGAATTCTTGGTCCCCATGAATGTTAATCCTGCATTGATCGTTTTTAAAAAAGAGCAACACCACACAAATGTTAGTAAGCATTGGTAGTATTAAAAGCGGTTGATGTTTTTGAAACATGGATGTAGCAAGTTGCAGTACCGTCAAAATGTGTGGTATGTGACCTTGAGCATGAGCGATAAGGGGATGCCAAGAGCCTTCCAGCTAGGAAAACTTCCCGTGTATGTTAGTGTGAATCAACTTATTTTGTGATTTTGCCTGGTTGAGTATGCAGTCCATCACGTGTTCGATCCTCGACATGCTTCATATTATTGTTAGTGTCATTATTATTCTGCTTGAAAAGGAAAGGTGCTACTGAACAAATGAAAATTAATGACTTTTTTAAAAAGTAGTAACGCAAATTGGACTTGACAGTGGAAATATTATCACTGGTTTACGTTTTTTTAATTTAGTTAATACATATAGGCAAATGTGACCGTTTTCATTCATTTTATATAGGCCCCACAACCATTGTTTTTTTTTCAGGGCCCCCAACAAGAACGATAAATTGAGGTTTCACTGTATATCAAATTGTTATTGAATAGATGTAAGTACTTTTTTTGAATAAATTAAATTTTACTAATTGTATTTTCTTGTTTTTCTTATTTATGGATTTTTTGTGATGTTGAAAACCTGTCTTCCTAAAGTGTTCATTCTTCAAGGTGGCTGAACAAAGTTATAAAATTTATTTTCAGAGCCACATTTGTCTGCACCTCTTGCATCTGTCTGAGTTTGATTACTGAAGTGTATCCATTTTGTGTTAGTCTTGGATTGAAAGCGCTGGAGGATTTCACTGTTGGAATTGGTGGCTGCCCCCTGTAGCTGAATTGCACAGGTCCATGTGGGTTTGAGTACTGTTTTGTATAGGGCAAGTTTGCTTTAGAAAGCCTATTTTTGGCTGCGCTTGTTTGTGTCTTTAGCTAGTAGAACATAGTGCTTTCTAATCTCATCTGTAGAAATGCTTTGACACTTTCCATGACAGTGCTTTTAATTCTTAGGCCTGATGAAGTGTCAGAATTCTGTAATGATGGTTTTTTTGACTGTTCAGTTTGCATTATGAGTCTGATCTTCAGAGGTCTTCTGTCTTAATAGAAAGTGTTGTTAGATAATCCACTTAGAAAAGGGGGTGAGGGGGGAGAAAGTAAATAAAAGAGGAGCTCTTCTTTTGGTTTCAGTGGTTCTTCTGGCACATAGTCTACAGTGTAGAGAACATGTGCATGTCACGAGCTTTGAGAGTTAATAGGGACATTTATGAATGATTTGTTTACGGTATTCGGCTGTTGCTGTGTTGGGATTGTGTAAGGCCAACAAACAGTAACCCTGCCCCTAAAGAAAGGAGGAGGAAAGCAAAATGTTGGCTTGTTTCAGCATAAACATTTTCATGGCATTCTTAGGTGTGTATATTGATATACTGAAGCATAATTTACATGCCTAGATTTAATGGCTCAGCTGTTGCTGTTGTCCACTTAAAGAAGAAGCAGTAATTCCTGTTTTTCTGCATTACTGGTGGGAAAATTATGTATAAATGTAACAGTTTACATATGTCATCTTTCCAGTAAGTTACTAACTATATAATTTCTCTTTTCAGTGAAGTGTACAAAGGCAAGCAATAATTTTGTGGCTATGAAGATAGTTGCAATGCAGTCTGGATACAAAAGAGTATGTACAAGTTTACAGTGAAACATTTTTGTTAGAAATGAAGGGTGTAGTATGTGACTTCAAGGGCACTCATTTTGCTGGCAGATGACTCATTAAAACTTGAGAAATTCCATTAATTTGTACTCAGTCCAGTGCATGCATGTCCTCGTCATGACTCCTGGGTGACGCTAAGTCATGCAAGGGTGAAAGAGCAAGTTCCTGACGCCCCAAAATTGGGACAAGCCGGCTAGGGGAGATAACCCCAACAGAAAACATCTGTCCTTTAGGATTGCTAGGGATTGGGTGCAGGGTTAAGAACCCTGCACTGTAAAAATCACTTGTCAAGAAAGCTCAAGAAACAGCTGGCCAGACCACTCTACTCGTAAGACGACACTGCAATGTGGAAAGATCTAAGGATACATGGCTTTTTACTTGGAATGTACTGTCGCCATTTAGACCAGGTTCCATTAGGTTGCTTACAGGTGTCCTCTCTGACTACAGAGCAGAGGAGAGAAAGTGGAGAAATTATAAAAACAAGAGTGCTTGTAAAACTGGAAGGGAGAAGGCAGAAAAGTAGATCAGGAATGAGGAATGAGATGGATGGATGGCGTGGAGAAGGATTTGAGGAACTTGGGTGTATTCAACTGGAAAACCAAGGTTCAAGCAGGGGACGGCTGGAGAAAGTTTGTAGAGCAGGCCAAGACCCACAAAGGGCTGTAGTGACAATAGTAATAATCAGGGCCCGGATTTTGATGACATGTCATCTTTTTTTCTCTATGTAGTAAACGTTGCTTTTAAGTACTAAAGCCCCGATTATGAACCTCTGGTTATAAAAATGTGAATTTTATTGTGCATTTTTTGTCATATTTTGTATGTCTTAAGTTTTAGGTCATTTTTACAAGTTTTTACATCATTTTTGTCATTTTTTCATGTTTTAGATCAATTTTCGTTATCTTTCACGTTTTTTAATAATTGACATTCATTGATCAAACTGAAGATNTTTTAATATTTTAAGACTCTTAGTAAGGTGTAGACGTTTGTTTTCGATTTTGGAGTACAACTATATAATCTGTGTGTGTGAAGGCGATTTGAAAAGTGACAGAAGTACATCGCATTTTTCCATTTTATTTTGTAAAATCTCAGTTGCACACAGTAGAGTGTGAGTGAGTTATCTGGTGAATTGTTGTGTTTGGCAGGAATTATTACAGAAATTTATATATATATACATATATATTGTGACATGTTGCGCAACGGAGGACACCCACCTCCTCAGCGGTACGTGGAGGTAACGTAGCGCTCGCGTTACTATGGTAATAGGCGAGTCCCCGCACCGTCACTCTCTCCATGGTGATGAAACGCGCAACGCGCGGTGACGCGGCACCGCTTCCTACTGTGACATGGCACGTAACAGGCACACACAGCCCCTATATAAGAGAGCTGCGCTGCCTGCGGAGTTGAGTTGTAAGGTGGCCATTGCCGAGCTCAGTTCCGAGCTAGTTCCGAGCAAGCCTGCGAGTCGAGTTGACAGTATAGCAGCCGTCGCGGAAAGAAGAACGGGACGTGTGTGGGATTGTGTAATTTGGAGTGTGTGATACAGTGATACATAGCTCCCCCTACTGTAAACGTGTAGACTACTGAAGACAGAGTGAACTGATTTGCGCATAGGGTTATAAATCGTGAAACCCCGCAACAGAGTTAACAGATTAATGCGATTAGGGTTATAAAGTGTGAAACCCCGCAACTGTGTTATAAATAATTGTAGCCGTTACTTGTAGGTTGTTGAATAAACCAATTAACGATCTCTACGTAGTATTCAGTAACGAAACACGTTACAATATATATGTAAGATTTGAGGCTTTCACGGCGGTGACTATGAAGAAAGCAGTCTTCTGGGATTTGGCACCATGTATATGTGGTGTTAACCAACGTTTCGGAGTCTCTCCGCTTGCAGATTTCTTATATTTTTTCTTCTACCCTGAAGATGGAGGCGATAGGAACTGTTTAGCTTTTCACAGGAAGATAGTTTAAAATTGGATCTTGGAGGGATAGGTTACGGTGGTATAGACTGGATTGATAGTGACTTTTGGATGACTCTCGTGAACACGGTAATGAACCTTTGGGTTTCATACTATGTTGGGAGATCCTTGAGGAGCTGAGCAGCTGGGGGCTTCACACAGAATTTCAAGAAGCTGTTCAGATGCTGTACTGTCACCAGATGCACAGTCATATTCAGCGTTAAGTTGGCATATCTTATGTTGAACCTGTCACCTCTATAGTTGCTCTTCAGGAGATTTACATGTCTTATTCCCACCAAGTAATTTGCTAAACTGACGTACCTGAGCTTTTAGCAGTACCCTGTTTGTAGGCCCTCTTTCACTATGCTTCTGTAGGAAGCACTTGTACAGAAATGCATCTACATAACTGTTTTCACATATCTAAGTGTTCTCCTTTGCAGCCCTGCTTCATCTTCTTTGAACTCTACATAAAAATGCCATTCATCTTCTGTTTTCACCCAACCACATATTGTTCCTTCTGGAATGTCACACTTGCGGAAAAAGCT